ATTTCTCCTCAATCCTCAAGATCTGCCATCTAAAATGTCTGTCTTACTTTATACTGGTAGTGCCAGCCTTGAAGGTCCCATAATACAAAAATCTCTTTTTTAATCAATTTTTTTTCCTGGAAGAATTCCCAGAGCAGTTTCTGATTTTTTTCTGCACTCAAAAAAAATTAAGTTGGAAATTTAAGGAACAACTAGAATTTTAATTACCTATTTTCTCTTGGAACAGTGGTATTATTTGAAACTGAGCATGTAGCTGCAAAAGGCTCCTGGTGGGAACAAACTGCTTCTATATCAGCCCGCAACAAGGATGGATTTGGGCTTCTTGAACTGTCAGACATCGCTGTGGGGTGATTAAGGCCTTCCATGTAACCTCGGGGCTCTGCAAAAATGAAATAAAGAATATTTTTGTTAGGACCTATAACCCTGTAATTGAAGCAAATACTATTTATTCACAGCAATGAAGGCACTGTGGGGAGATGAGAAAATCAGGGATGAAATTGCAAGTCCACTCTCAGTTCAACACATTTACGATGCTATTTACACAGAGGCCCAAATGTATAACTCATAAAGGGTCCTTATACAAAATATTTTCTTTCTGTATATTGCAAATATTGACAGCAGATGATAAGAATAAACATGTTAACCTTCTCTCTAAGCTTTTGGCTTTATACAAAATGAACATCTAAGCAATACCAGTGTTTTGATGCTTTACAACAGGGGTCAGTGACCTATGGTGCACAGGCTGGATATGGCCCACCACCTGAAATCATCCAGGCCACAGCCCCAAAAAGAAACATATCCACCTGGCCTGTGGGAGGGAAGGAGAGAGTGGCTGTCCATTCAGCTCTCCCTGTGAGAGTTTGCTGCCTTCACCAGCTGCCTTAGTGTGGGCGAAGCAACAAGTCCCCCACCAGGAGCTGGTGAGAGTGAGCCAGAGGCAGAGAAGGAGGAAGAAATGACGGTGACAGTGGCATGGCCTCCGGCCTCTATGCAGGAGAAGGTTGCCTACCCTTCCTATACAATCTACAAACATACATACCCATCACACTAGCTATTTCTGTTTTGGTTAATACTGTTATTTGAAAAGTTCAGAAAAGGAGTATGAAATAGTAAGCCAAAGAAATTAAAGGTATGAAATTCAAAAGGTAAAGGAAACATAGTTTTATTTTACTGCAGCACTATCCACTATACCTCTCCATATCTTTCTCTCTTGCAAACCATCCCTACAGGTAGTCCTCGAGTTACAACTGCAATTGGACTGGGATTGCTGTGATGCAGTCATAAAGCATGATGTCACGTGACTATATTGTTTAGCAATGGCAATCCAGGCTGGTTGTCGTTGTAACCCAAGACATGTGGGTTGTTAAGTGGGGAGCAGAGGGAGTCCCAGGCAAAGAGCATGGGTGTGCTGCAGGAGGGTGGGGGAAGTCCTGGGACGCCCAACACAGGCCACGTGGGAGTCTGGGTAGGGGGTGCTCGGTGCAGCATGAACTCACAACAGCTGGAAATGACGGAGCAGGTGCATGCGACTGCAGGAAGGCAAGGGAAAGGGTGTGCAGGGTACGTGTGTGCGAGTGCAGGAAGGCCAAGGAAAAAGGGCACAGGATATGTGCCTATGATTGCAGGGAGGCTAAGGAAAGAGGGCACAGGGTGCGTGCATGTGTGTGCAAGCACAGGGAAGCCAGGGAAAAAGGGCATGAGATGTGTGCAAGTGAAGGGGGGAAGAAGGGTGTGATGTGTGCAAGCGAAGAAAGGCTTGCTAAACAAATGGTTGTGAATCAAGGACTACCTCTATGCTTTTACAGGCAGCCATTTTTGCTTTTTTAAAACAATCATTAATTCCTTGAAACAGATCACATAGTAATCACTACCTTTCTATATGCATTTGCACATCTTAAAATTTCTTCATCCATTTTCCCATCTTTAGCAAACATTCTACCAACATACACAAATTCATTTGCTTACTCTAGTTTTCACCATTTATGCATACAGTTTGCAAGTTTGGTCTTCAATGCATTAATTTTCAAATCCATACTCCTTGTTACTTCATATTAACAACTGCTATAAATCATTCAGGTTTTCAGCGAACAACACATACACACGCACATATATGGTTACTTGGTTACATTTCCAACCAATGCATCTTTAATGTCACCCCAAGCATTCACATACTGTTATCACCAGCCACAAAGTCACTCAAAAAGCACTCACTCTTTTTCTTGTCCTAATTTTTTTTTTTTGGGGGGGGCAGAAATAATTCTCTTATATGCATTTCTTTTTCTTATCAATAGTCTCTTGTTTCCAAGCATCCTTTTTCATAATGCCTACTAGTGAAACTTTGCATAATTCTGTTCCAAGCAAGTTCCACATCCTCTTTCCTTATACCTACCTTCCCTCTATACTGTTAAGAAATTAACCTATCTTCAAATCAAATATTTTTATTACCGTCTTTAACCAGCCTTTGAAAAATAAACAACATGAACAATTTGTTATCAGGGAAAGAGGTAAACAATAAAACAATAAAACAACATAACTAATTTAAAAGTTTTGCACTATTGTATAACATGATAAAGATATCTGGCCACCTGGCATATGAGTGTTGAGTCAGCATCCCTTAAAAAGTAATAAACATAAAATTAGTCATTATGGCCCTCAAATTTAGAGATAAATGTAACCTATCTTCTCATAATTGTTCATATAGTAATTCTATTTTCACTTTTGTTTCTTTCTGTTCTGTTCTTTTCTTCCATGTCCATTTTCCCCAGGATCTACTCTTAATACTAATGATGAATGGCCTGTCCCACATCCACAATTTTTTATCACTCTTCATTCTCATCATCCTTCACTAACTCTCTCAACCATTCATCTCAATGCCCACCTGCCACCATCCCCATTTTGATCTTTTCACCCCTTTGCTGCTGCTACTGGCCTTGCCTTTTCCCTGCTATCTCCCAAACCAGAAAACCTTTAGTGGAACACATGTATTCTGGGTCTGTGCCTGGGCCAGTCCTGCAAGCTTTGATCAGAGCACAGATCACCCAATACCAGCTGACCTGTACACCAAATGGCCTGAGGATGGAATGTTTTGCACTGCCCTAACATTTTTACTAGGCTAGAGAATGTGTAGACCACACCACCAGCCTCAACCATTTGTATGCCACTTATTGTTAGCATCCCCTCTTATTAATAAGGACAATATTGGTCAGTTTGGGCACATTTTAGCCTGTGACTTGAGTAAGTTCAAACAATTCCATGCAAGCTATGCTAGATGCTAAGCTGTCTTATCTAAATGTTATCAAGCTATCATATTGTTGCCTGAATTTCACCAAGTAGAAGTATATGCAATGTACTGACACATACTTGGATCAGTTTACAATCTACAATTGTAGATATTAAAGAGATATTAGTGTATTTACCACTAAGAAATTCATAACTTAAATTTAAGAGTATCCCCCCCTCCCCCTTCCCATTTTTAAAGATAATTTATTTGGGGAAAAACATAACTTCCTTTTGGGCAAATACAGTATACTGCAGTTAGAAATGCTATATATAACATTTTGAATAGTAGTTTTTAACAGCTGTAAATTATCAAAATAAAAGAGCAGATATACTAGCAGAACTATCAATGAGTTAGACTATTATTTGCATTACAACATCCCCCAGTTCTGTTGGAGGTAAATCAATGGAGTATTAATAATAAATACTAAACGTAGATCATTCTAATACTCCAAACAATAATCATATCTACTATCTCACAGCAAATCTCCAAACGAAGGCATGCCTATACCCTAATCCTATTAGCTTAGATTAGAATCTCCCCATCTCTTGCCAATAGTCCCCTTTTTACTTTTTACAGAAATACACACACACCTAGATTACGTACAACAACTCAAATAATGGAAAGATGTATATATGGCTTCTACCCTTTCTCTGATCTCCACACTGCCATTCAAAATATTCCTGAATGGTCTTTTATCAAAAAGCAATCTTCTAACAATTTATTCTTATTGCTATACCTCACCAAAATATTCCAGATTCTTTTATCTAAAACTCCTGAAGGCCAATCAAAGCAGCAGTTCTATTCTTGGAAATCCGATAGCAAGATTCTTAACAATTTATACCTCTGTCTATATACACAGATGTGCAACTATCTGTCCTCCCCTACAATAATAATGCATCATTTATCTTGTGAAAAGCAAAGAACAGTCAGATGGTTTGGTTATTTGAAGACCTGGTTTCAGCAGTGATAGTTTCAGTTTAAGTATTGGCAGTATAACCTGTAAAATGGAGAAGTTTGTAAAAAGAATTATACACTTCTGCTTGAAATTACTGAAAAGGGTTTGCAAAACCCTTTGAAATCTACACCAAGATTTGTACTGCACAATAAATTACTTAGTTCTGCCTTAGTGAAAATGACATGCTAAGTTAATATGTAGCGTACAAATGTTCTTGGGATTTATTTACTAAGTTAAATGAGAGTATGATGGCCTGACTTACAAAAGAAGGAATTATACTCCTTTCCACCCAGCCCATCTGTTCAGAAAAATTAAGAGACATATCAGACTTCCAGGGAAGAAATGGCGAACTGAAGATGGCTCTGCGACGACAGCAGCAGAATGAAGAGCTGGTGAGCAGACAGGCTCTTCATAGTTCCTCTCCAGACAAGGAAAGGACTTGAATTGCCCACAAGTGCTCCATACACTTGCTCCTCACAAGGAGACTGCAAGACAGCGGCCTCTGGTGGGTTTAGAGCTCTGGGGGAGAAGGGAATAGCCATCTTGTTCAAACCATGGTCAGCACCTTTATGGACACTGGGTTTGCATACTTCCTTTTCTAATCACTTTTGGAAATTGCTTTTCAGCTATTAGGAATCTTTGGATCAACAAGTTTTATAGCACTGGGTGAGTTTCCTTCAGTCCTTAATGAAAGAAGTTTTAAATACAAGTTTAAGGACTTCAAATATTATTGTTTTTAATAAACAGCAAAAGGGTGATATTAATTATAAGAATTCTTCCCATGGGAAAATGGTTCTGTTTTGAATTCTTTAAAAAAAAAAATAGGATGGGACTTCGAAGGTTGGACACTAGAAGGAACCAGAAAGAATTAAATGTTACAATTAAAGGAGAAGAACATTTTAAACTTGACTTACTAATACAGAATGGACCAAAATACTTTAACACTGGATGTATTGAAAGATATTTGTGAACAATGGATCCAGAAGTTAATTTTAAGAGTGGCTGCCATTACAGATAGACTATGTTTAAAAGATGTTACGGAAGAGGAACAAGGTATATCGGACAAGACGGAGACTATTCTGAAATTGGTTTTAAAAAATGACAGGCTACAAGAATGATATGGAAGAAGATGTTACATTAGATA